GTGTGTGTGTGTATATATATATACACACACACACACACACACACACACACACACACACACACACACACACACACATTAAGATTGCCTATGCAACCTTAATTTGAACCCCTTATGTGTATGCATTCTGAGATAGTCTTTAATTACATGATTACATACTATTTTTCCCCACAGGACCCTTTGCCTGTGTAACAAGCCTGACTTGTGGAGTATGGAGACAGAATCTGCAGGAAGTCCTCTAGCTTGTACGTAGAAAGGGCTAGAGCAGACATAGGGAGTGGCTGACTCTATAGCAGTCAGAGTGGGAGGCCTCCAGAGATCTTGGCCCTGACTGACCAAATTGAAGGATGACTGTGGCCACTACTGGTGGAAACCATGAGGGAATGGCCACAGGATAACACAGGCTTTGCAGGAGGCTGATGACAGTTTTGTGGAGTCAGACAGCAGTTGGGTGAGCAGCCCCTTCTCTTTGATCTGAAGCTTGTTCCTGGACTTATCCAGAGGTGCCAGACAGCTGTAAATAATAAAAGCTAATTTGTTCTTCATCCTACAAGTGATCCCCCCTTGTGCCTGATTTCTCCTACTCCAGTTCCAGACATTGAATCCAGAACCTCCCTTGGTCCACTCCGCTACCCAGAATCCCTAACTTTATCCTGGGAGTGGGGGGGAGTAAAACCTGTTTCCCCCAAGCTTCACCACTTCTGCTCTATCCCTTCCAGTTTGTCCCTGGCCCTATCCTAGCCTCTCATTCCAGGCCAATTTTCCTTACCCAGCAAGTTTGTCTCCACTCCATAGGCTTCTTTCATCCCTGGTCCACTCTCCTTGGCCAGCCAGTCCCAGTTCTTCTCTGATCTGTCCTCTTTTTCCCATCCCAGCCTCCATTCACTGTCCCCCACACCATACCTGTCCCCAGACTCAGTCTTCTCGTTCAGCTTCAGTATCCTTATCCCCACTCACCTTCCTGGTTCCTTGTCCCAATCTCTTCTTCCAGCCAGTCCCAGTTGTCTTCCCAGACCTTGGATCCTCATCAGATTTGTCTCTCCCTCCTACCTCCATACTTTGAGGTGGCACAGTTTGCAGACAATATAAAATTTCTCAATATAGTCCAAAGCAGACCGTGAAGAATTACAAAACTTGGTGACGGGGCAAGAAACTGGCAGAAGAAATTCAATCTTGATAAGTGCAAAGTAATGCACCTTTGGCAACATAATCCCAACTATACATACAAAATGATGGAGTCTACATTACTTGTTACCAGTCAAGAAAGAGATCTTGAAGTCATTGTGGATAGTTCTCTGAAAAACATCTGCTCAATATGCACCAGCAAACAAAAAAGCTAACAGAATGTTAGGAACCATTAGGAAAGGGACAGATAATAAGATAAAATATATCATAAATCCATGGTAAAACTACACCTTGAATACTGCATGCAGTTCTGATTGTCCCATCTCAAAAAAGATCAATTAAAATTGGACAAGGTACAGAGAAGAGCAGCAAAAAATGATTAAGGGTATGGAACAGCTTCCATATGAGGAGAGATTAAAAAGATTGGGACTGTTTTGCTTGTAAAAGAGATGATTAAGAAGGGATATGATAGAGGTCTATAAAATCATGAATGGTGTGGATGAACTGAATAAACAAAGTGTTATTTACCTGTTCACATAACACAAGAACCAGGGATCACCCAATGAAATTAATAGGCAGCAGGTTTAAAAACAAACAAACAAACAAACAAACAAACAAACAAACGGAAGTACTACTTCTCACAATGCACAGTCAACCTGTGGAACTAATTGTCAGGGGATGTTTTGAAAGCCAAAAGTACACCTGGGTTCAAAAAAGACTTAGAAAAATTCACAGTGGACAGGTCCATCAGTGGCTATTACCCAAGATGGTCAGGGATGCAACCCTATGCTCTGGGTGTCCCTAAGCCTCTGACTGCCAGATGCTGGGACTAGACGACAGGGACTGGATCACTTCATAATTGCCCTGATCGGTTAATTCTCTCTGAAGCATCTGGCATTGGCAACTGTTAGAAGGAAGTTTGAATATTTGCTACTACTACCACCAAGATCTGCACCTGCGGCGGCTCCACCCGGGCCCGCGCCCTAGGCTTCAAGGCGCACCGCCCTCCTACTCGTCGCGGCATAGCCCCCGCGGCTCTCATTGCTGGCGACGGCCGGGTATGGGCCCGACACTCGTCCCTTCGGAACGGCACTCGCCTATCTCTTAGGACCGACTGACCCATGTTCAACTGCTGTTCACATTAGAAGGAAGGACACTGAGCTAGATGGACTATTGGTATGACTCACTATGTGACTATTGTTATGTTCACATTCCAGGTGAGTAGCCTAAAAGCTGGGCTAAAGGTTATAAGAAGGGCATTGGTACCAAAACCATCACCATCTACTCCTCTTCCTAGCATTTTGTGAATCCTTATAAAAATACCCAAAACAAAAAGTTCCAGGTCAAACATGTTGCATTTGACTCAAAACACATTTTTTCGATATGCTGAAGTTTTTCACAATTTTCAGATTCAGTTCAACCCAAATTGAAATTCTTTCCCCCAATTTTTCAGAAATGCCAGTGAACTGGGGGGAAAAAAATCAGTTATCCACCCAGCTCTAGTGTGCATGACTATTCTGTGAGGCTAGCATAACCGGCAGTTACTTTTAAATTTTTACATCAGCATAAAGCAACAGAGGGTCCTGTGGCACCTTTGAGACTAACAGAAGTACTGGGAGCATAAGCTTTCGTGGGTCAGAACCTCACTAAGCTTATGCTCCCAGTACTTCTGTTAGTCTCAAAGGTGCCACAGGACCCTCTGTTGCTTTTTACAGAGTCAGACTAACACGGCTACCCCTCTGATACATCAGCATAGCACTTCTGTGAGACACCGCAAGAAGAATCTATGATATACAAATATGTTCTCTCTTTCTTCGTGGTTCAGATGAGAGAAACACGAATGTGAGCGATAGCTTCTACATATGCAGCGTAAACCACACTGTCACGGCAGTCCAGCGCCCTCTGCATTCTCTGCAGAGACGCCAATGCAGAGGTGACAGCAGGCAAACAGGGGGTGACTGGGCCCCACGCCAGGCACGGATGCCCCCTAACCAGCAACACAGCAGCTCTTGCACCCACTGACTGCACCTTCCCTCCCAGCCCTGCTGGAGCTCCCTGCTTGGGCTGGTGTGAGCAGAGGAGGCACGAGCACGCACAAACCTATAGTGACATCACTATACTCAATTGGTCCCCACCCCACGCAGGGCCACGCTCACCGCATTGCGCATGCTCAGAGCAACTCTCTCCCGCCTGCCGCCCCCACCCCTCACAGGCACCATCATCCCGCCTGCGCGGTGAAACATTTGCAACTGAGCATCTTGCGCCTCAGGCCAAAAGGCCACATTTTGGCTACCACGCGCGCGCAGCTAAGCAAGATCGAGGTTCTTTTAGGGGCACTACGCATGCGCATAAGAGGGAATGAGAAGCCCACTATGGGCAACAGACATGCGCACTACAGGCTTCGACGAGTCTATGTGGCGGATGTGTGCACGCGCAATGGACAGGCTTAGTCCGTCTCCGGGAGTGGAGCATGCGCGATGAAGGGATGGGCTAGTTTTGTAAGTGGCGCAGGCGCACTGAAGAGTTTGGGGACCGCAGCCCCGCTCGGTGGGGGAAAAAAAAACACCTCAGAGTTACGTCAGGAAAAGACGCCTTTGTGCACGGGGAGACCCGCGCGGCGCAGGCAGCTCCCAAAACGGGCGCGAGACGCGGCCGTTACTCACCTTCTCCGCCGTTAGCCGCACCCCACCCTGCTGCCCCCCTCGGCGCCTCCCTTCACGATTCGCCCGCGCGCGCTGCTGCCACCGCCGTGATTCCATCCATCTTGAATTTGACGTCATCCCACACCAGGGATGAGGTCATCGCAGGGAACGCTCGTCACGTGCGCAGTGTTGCGATTGGCCGGCGCCAGAGTGGGGGGTGCGGGAGAGGCGCTTGCGCTGGGGACTGGGTGGCGGTTAGGGGGAGTTACGGGGGTTCCCCCAACCGTCAGTCCCTCCTCGCGCCCTTCCCCTGCCGCTGGCGCGGCGGCCCTGCGCTCAGTGGGGGACTGGGGAGGCGCCTTTCGCCAAATCTCATCCCGGTCGCTGCGTCGGATGGGAGCGGCCTTCCCGCTCCGCGCTGCGGGCCGGGCCTGGGCCGAGCCCGGCGGGGTGGGGTAGAGAGCGGGGCATCCCCCCGTCCCCAGGGTGCGCAACGCGTCTCGCAGCGCCCGGAGATGGGATGGGATGGGCTGGGCACGACTGCCGGCATCCGGGCTCAACACTGAGGGGGGGATGCAGCAGCGCGGAGCTGGGGGACAGTCGGGGCTGACCTGCTTCCCGCCCGGGCCCACGCGTGCTGCCGGGTCCCAGGCGCCCCCAGCCCAGCCATAGCACCGTGACCTCCCCTGGGACACCTGCCGCGCTGCGGTGTCGCGTTCCCGGCCTGGCTGCGCTCAGCCGCGGAGTCCGTTTGGGCTCGGGTCGGCTTGCCCCGAGGAGGATCCAGCCCCTGTCCGTGGTGGTCTTGCCTGAGAGGCCCCAAGGGGCAGAGGCCGGGCTCCCCCAGCACAGACCTCAGCCCCCCGGGGTTGGCAGGACGTCCAGAGCAGCGGTTCAGGTCTAGCCGCGCCCTGAATTAGAGCGGGCAGGACAGCACCACTCCTGTAGCTGCAGTCTCAGGACATGTTCTCCAGGGGTGTTATAGCCCTTTTTTTTGTATCCCTGAGGACTAGAAATGTTATTTACCTTTTTAAAGGGAACCCTGGTATTTTGAGATGATCCCAGAAGCTGGGGCCTAGGACACATGCCTATAATGCCTCTGTTATGTTTTAATTAGGCTCTGTTTTTACAGCGTGTGCCTCCTACCTGCCCCCAGAGCCTCACTTATTTAGCAGGAGAAGGGTGGCTCCTTTGGACACTAATTTATAGGCAGTTTTTAAGATTATAATTTCTTTATGTAGTGATAAGTAAAAAATATAACATTAAATAACTCTGGGTGGTGCCTATGCTGTGTGGATAGGTAAAAGAACTACCTTTAGTACTGTATATTTAGCACCTTTAAGGTGTGAGCTGAAGCTCATTGAAATTAGTGGAAAGATTCATATTGGCTTTGGATCAGGATTGTAGTGAACATTTAATGACAGCAACAAAAAATAGCTGCTAATCCACATAATATAATAAATAATGGCCTGGAAAATTACATCTGATAAAATGTGCACTATTATCTTGGTTTTTTGACTAAAATCAAGCCATTTCATAAGGCCCACTGCCTGCTTCTACACAATATCCTATACATGAGTGTTTTGTCCTTATGTTTACATCATTTTAATTTACACAAGTGTGTAAATAGACAATACTGTACATAGAAACAGCCTAACTAAATACATCCAAAACAAGCTGAACTTAAAATATAAATCAATACAGGTGACTTTAAATCTTATTAAAATATGTAAAAAGAACGAGGAGTACCTGTGGCACCTTAGAGACTAACAAATTTATTTGGGCATAAGCTCTCTAAGGTGCCACAGGTACTCCTCATTCTTTTTGCTGATACAGACTAACATGGCTATCACCCTGAAACCTATTAACATATGTAGAATTTGTCTGGCCCACACAAGATTGTGCTTAGGTTTATGTGGCTCTCCTGTGTAATAAGGTTGGGCACCGCTAGGTGCCTAACTGAAGGTATCAAAGTTGAACAAAGCCAAACTAACTAAAGTTATATCTATCTTCCATAGCTTTCAATGAGAGCAAGATTTGGCTCTTTGTCACTTTTAACACTAATAAGTAATACAGAAGCTGCAGGTAGAAAGATATCTAGTCCACATACATGTTTTTCGCTTAACATTCCCCCCCCCCGTAATTATTAGTATTGATACTTTTTCTAGGTGGCAAATGTTCTTAAATAGATATTGGGATCTTAGTAATTCATAAATAGTTTGGTGTTGCTCTAAAAGAGCAAATTATTTCAGAAAGCTATAATACTTTAGCTTCTAGTTTACTTTGCTGTTATTCATTAGATATTTGTTTCTGGATCCAGTGGTTTCCATTTTAATAATGAGATTATGACTACCACAGTCGAGCCCTTGATAGTGGCATGCATGGAATCAGCAAGTTTGTTTTCTGTTTTTATCTTTCTTGGGTGGATTAGGTACTTATTTATCTATACCAATTTAAATATGATTCTTATAGATTTGATTGTTTAAAAGGATAGAGGACTACGTGCAGCTAAATACTTTAGCATGAAAATAGTCTCATTCAGTTAGCTGGAATTGCTCAGATACTTAAGTATTTTGCTGACTTAGAGACATAATGTGATCATTTTTGTTGATGCTAACAAAACTGAGGCAAGTGATTGTAATATATACAGTACTTTTTTTTGGTTTTTAAATTGTTCTTGGGCGCATCCATTTTCTCAAATTCATTCATTCAAAATTGTTTGAATGATTTCTCAGTTCTTGCTTTGTAACTTTTTTTGTGAACAGTTTTGCAAATATTTAAAATGTAAGATGTTTTGGTGGGATTCTTGTTTGTATTTCACATGTTTCATTGTATAGGGTCCAGACCTGCACTCCTAACGTGGGAAAAACCCCAGTTGACTTCAACTAACTTGTGTAGTCTACTTCTATTCCTATAACACTGATTTACTGGTTGTACACCAAAAAAAGTGAAACCAATCAGACAATACATATATTGTGAAATACACAAAATCCATAGTACTGGAATGGGGGTAACAAATATTAACTAGGACTATCAAGCGATTCACACTGTTAATAATAGAATACCATTTATTTAAATATTTTTGGATTTTTTCTACATTTTCAAATATATTGGTTTAAATTACAACACAGAATTCAAAGTGTACAGTGCTCACTTTATATTTAATTATAAATATTTTTGTAAAAAAACAATAGAAATAGTATTTTTCAATTCACCTAATACAAGTACTGTAATGCTCTCTTTATCATGAAAGTTGAACTTAAAAATGTAGAATTGTTAAAAAAAAACCTTCATTCAGAAATAAAACATTGTAAAACTTTAGATCCTACAAGTCCAATCAGTCCAACTTCTTGTTCAGCCAATCGCTCAGACAAACAAGTTTGTTTACATTTGCAGAAGATAATGCTGCCTGCTTCTTGTTTACAATGTCACCTGAAAGTGAGAACAGGTGTTTGCATGACACTTGTAGCTGGAGTCGCAAGATACTTACATGCCAAATGCGCTAAAGATTCATATGTCCCTTGATGCTTCAAGCACCATTCCAGAGGACATGCGTCCATGCTGATGACGGGTTCTGCTCAATAACTGCAAAGCAGCGTGGACCGACGCATGTTCATTTTCATCATCTGAGTCAGATGCCACCAGCAGAAGGTTGATTTTCTTTTTTGGTGGTTTGGGTTCTATAGTTTCCGCGTCAGAGTGTTGCTCTTTTAAGACTTCTGAAAGCATGTTCCACATCTCATCCCTCTCAGATTTTGGAAGGCACTTCAGATTCTTAAATCTTCGGTCGAATACCGTAGCTATCTTTAGAAACCTCACATTGGTATCTTCTTTGTGGTGAAAATGTTCTTAAAATGAACAACATGTGCTGCTGGGTCATCATCTGAGACTGCTATAACATAAAATATATGTCAGAATGTGGGTAAAACAGAGCAGGAGATAAACAATTCCCCCCAAGGAAATCAGTCACAAATGTTAAAAAAACAATGCGTTAATTACAAGCATCATCAGTATGGAAGCATGTCCTGTGGAACAATGGCCAAAGCATGACGAGGCATATGAATCTTTAGCGCATCTGGCATGTAAATATCTTTCGATGCTAGCTACAACAGTGTCATCCGAATGCCTGTTCTCACTTTCAGGTGATGTAATTAAGAAGTGGGCAGCATTATCTCCCGTAAATGTAAACAAACTTGTTTCTCTTTCCAATTGGCTGAATAAGAAGTAGGACTGAGTGGACTTGTAGGCTCTAAAGCAGGGGTTGGCAACCTTTCAGAAGTGGTGTGCTGAGTCTTTATTCACTCTAATTTAAGGTTTCGCATGCCAGTAATACATTTTAACATTTTTAGAAGGTCTCTTTCTATAAGTCTATAATATATAACAAAATTATTGTTGTATGTAAAGTAAATAAGGTTTTTAAAATGTTTAAGAAGCTTCATTAAAAATTAAATTAAAATGCAGAGCGCCCCAGACCGGTGGCCAGGACCCGGGCAGTGTGAGTGTCACTGAAAATCAGCTCCTGTGCCACCTTCAGCACGTGTGCCATAGGTTGCCTACCCCGCTCTAAAGTTTTGCATTGTTTTGTTTGAGTTATGTAACAAACAAAAAAACTATTTGTAAGTTGCACTTTCATGATGAAGAGATTGCATTACAGTACTTGTATGAGGTGAATTGAAAAATACGATTTTTGTTTATCATTTTTACAGTGCAAAGATTTGTAATAAAAATATAAAGTGAGCACTGTACACTTTGTATTCTCTGTTGTAATTTAAACCAATATATTTGAAAATGTAGAAAAAAATCCAAAAATATTTAATAAATTTCAATTGGTATTCTACTGTTTAACAGTGCGATTAATTTTTTTGAATTAATCGCCTGGGTTACTACGATTAATCAACAGCCCTAATATTAACCTCCCTCTGTTTCTATAACAGGCGATGAAATATTCAGACTCTGTAATAATTCCTAGAAAGGTTGCCGTCAGGATTTTCAGTTAGGCCACTATTTCAAGAAGTTAAGCAGCTGAACCAGAATTTTAAGGGCGTGTCTAGTGTGGGAGGGGAAGAGGGGGGAACTGGATGTGATGTTTTTATTTTAAATGTCCACTTTGCTGGTTGCTGTTGCATTTATTAACCGTCTTCACAGGATATAAAACAACTTTAAAGCTCTCATACAGTATTTATACAGAGAGGTCAAAACCAGTGAAATTATTTTCATGTCAGGATGTTTGAGGAAGATTAGTTTTGACAGATTAGTAATTACTTAAATCTCCATTTGCTATCCAAAAATATCTTCTAAATGTAGCCTGATTAGTACTTGTGGTTTGTAAGAAACAGTACAAATAGAGGGTGATTCAAGATTCGTTAAAATTATATTGAGTTAAATTTAGATGGACAAAACGGTATGGAATAATTGAGTGGTCTGAGCACAAGACTGGGAACTCAGAACTCTTGAATTCAAATTTTGGCTCTG